TTTGTCCTTCGCACCAGTGCTCGTTGTCCTGCGTGTCGGCATGTCCAAGGTACATATATGCCGTGTTTACAAAATGATGTCCAGGCGTTTTCGTATATAAATTTTTCTTTGTGACAACCAGCTCGAGTACGTGCGATATAATGGTCTCTATAGTTGTCACTTAAGCATGGTGAACTCACGTTAATGAGCCATAGAAAAGTCCCGAATACCGAACTAAAACACTTTTTTTCCTGAACTTTAAGTTATCTTTATGTGTTTCATTGTTTTAAATACAGGTGATATATGAAAATAGTTCCACAGAATGCAGTAAAACACTACAAATATCACGTTTTGTGGAGAGAGAAAAACACCGCGTCTGCCAGGTTCTCGGTAAACCAGTTGATAACATGATGTTCCTGGTTTGGCAGTAACAAGATTTGGCACTAGTATATCTCTAGGTTTTAACAGCTTGGACAGTCTCAATGGTTCTGGCACTGACCTTGACATGGAGAGCCATTGTTTGTTGACGATTAGTACCGACTTTTCCCGATTATTCGTCAGCATGTCAGCATGTCAGCATTACAACGGTAGCGAAGGCTATGACGTAGACAAATCTCTTCGATCGGTGTTGAATGTAGGCAATGTTTTCGTGGTCCTTACTCTGAGCCTTGAGGGACGCCGAAATCTAGTAGTTTTCATGTGAAGGTAGATCATATGGCAACAGACTATAATATAGTGTGGCGGGTATCATTAATTTGTGTTTCATTCTACTGGTGGATATGCAGTGTTTTCCTAAGTCTATGAGAGCGCTATCGATCCCAGTTCACTGTGTAACGTGCGGACGGTCACCCCGCCAGCTGATATCAGTCTTGTGCAAGTGTCTGTTACATCTAAACCGAGGCTTACGCTTGAGCCTTGGTTGGCATTAGTTTGACACAATCTTATCCTATGACTGAGATCATCCCATCTCGCTAAGTTACAAGTTATATATTTCATTTGGTTTGGGATCTTCTCACGTTACGTCGACAACAAAATGTTTCCAAAAACTTATCCCGAAAACGCTTTCCTGATAAGCCATACATAATGAAATTCAAAGAATGATTCAGCTGAGTGGCCAGGTATGCGATGGTATCGGCAACTGGGATCAGTTCTTTCATAGTGAACAAGTTTTCGCTGTAAATCATTCCGTACACGGATACAAAGACGAACGGAAGAAATGTGACGATAAAGAAGGTCGTAACTGTAAAAAGCATGGTAATTGTTCTCATGTTGGAATCCTTCATGTTGGCTATTGAAGATGAAACATTCCCACTGTTTGCAGTCAGATTGCGTCTCCTGCTAGCTGCCTTGTAGATACCCTGAATAGTAAGAGTGTTGAGGGCACATATTAAACAGAAAGGAATCAGAACGTAGCTACACGTATCTATATAGATGCTGTATTTAAAGCAATAGTCATTGGTGAATTCTGGAAAAACACATGAGGAGCCTTCTTCATCCCATTTGAAACAAATAATCGGAAAATTGACAGCAACAATAACAAGAAAGACCGTACAGATGTAAATAAGCGCACGCCTTCTGGTACAATACTTGATGGCATTAAAGGGGTGGCAGACTGCAACATAGCGATCGAAAGTTACGGCTACCGTTACCCAGGAGGATAGATGCGAGAATATTAATATGAAGGCGGATTCCGCAGAGCACAACCATTTGATGTCGATCTTATAACTCTCTAGTTTAGTGAAATCCAGCAAATTGGTGATCGCGCCGCAAATTGACAAAGACAGGTCAGATAAGGCGAGAATTGCGAGGTACAAGTAGAACGAAGATATTTTCGATAGCTGGTACAATACCACAGACGAAAGGGTATTACCCACAATCCCTATGAAATAATTCATACAGAGGAAGATTCCATAACCGTAAGAGTCCATCCAAGAAATGATTTCGTCATCATGGTCGGTAAAATTGTTGACGGGACCACTTCCATTGAATATGTGTGATGTTTGATTTTGAAGACTAATATTTTGGCTTCCCATGATTCCACTGAAAGTTGAAAAATATAAGGCGTTCAATGCGAATTAATTATTTTCTTTGAAAAGTTATGCTTTATTTCAACCCATTATTAGCTTACCTGGCCCGAAGGGCCAAGTGAGCTTATGCCGTGGTGCGGCGTCCGTCCGGGGTCAACGTTTTACTTTAAACAATTTCTTCTCAATAAATAAGAGGCCTAGGCTTACAGTATTTGGCCAGTAGGATGCTGGGATGTAGGGCTGCCAAGTTTGTTCAAGGTAACAGGGGTCAAATTTGTTAAAATATTTTAACAGCTTCTTCTGTATAACCAAAGGGCCCAGGATGATGATATTTGACAAATAATTTGCTGAGATGAGGGGCTACTAAATTTGTTCAAATGAATGACCTTGACCAATATTCAAAGTCAAAGGGGTGAATTATGTAAAAAAAACTTACAAACGACTTGTTCTGAATAACAATAAAGCCCAGAATTATGGTATTTGACCAGTAAAATGCTTTGATAAAGAGCTACCAAGTGTGTATAAGTGAATGAATTTGACCTATAGCCAAGGTCACAGGGTTCAAACATGTTTAACATATTTAAACGACATCTTCTGAATAACCTTAGGGCGCAGAATGTTAATATCTCGCTAGTAGCATGTATGGATAAATGGCTACCAAGTTTGTTCAAAATAAGGACTTTGTCATATATTTAAGGCCTCAGGGGTCAGATATGTTGAAATTGTTAAACGACTTCTACTTAATAACCATAATGCCCAGAATACTGATATTTGGCCAGTAGCATGCTTGGATAAAGGGTTATATTTAAAGTTGAAGACATTAACATTTATTCAAGGTCACATGGGTCAAATATGTTTTTAACATTATTTGCACATGCAATTTCTTCTGAATAACCAAAAAGCCCAAAAAAACATAATTTGGCCAGTAACATTTTCATTTAAATGCACTTTCAAGGTCACATTTTGTCAAAAGTGTATAAAGCTTTAAATGACCTAATCTCAAATAAAAAAAGGTCTAGCGTGGTGATAGTTGGCAAGTTGCATGCATGAAATGGAGGGCTATACAAATTATTCAACGTAATGACCTTGTTCAACTTTTTAAGTCACATGGGTAAAATGTGTTAAAAACAATTAACAGATTTATTTGAATAACATAAATACTGATATTTGCCTCTAGCTTTATTTCAGTCCGCTTTTAAGCTTACAAATGTGATATAATTATAAGGTGACCGATGCAGGCCCATTGGGTCTCTTGTTTTTAAACATAATTGGTTGTGAAAAAAATGTGCACATTAAATCGTAAGGGTTTTAGGAAAGAACAAAATCAATAAAGACAGTAGATGATTGATTCGTTCAAAAAATAACTGTATACCGGGAAATGTTCGCCTTATTCGCCATCCGAAGGCGTTACAGTGAACATCTGTAAACAACATACTAAACGTTGTGATTAAATGTGAAGGGCGAATTTAATATTGGGGGTAAACGGATTTTACGAAGGGCAGAACGTACAATACTCAATCGTTTCGTTGCCTCATAAAAAAATAATTGTTTATTGGGAGCATATATATATATAATATTACTTAAGGAAACACCGACACCTGAATCTTTCTAGTACTTTCGCACAACTTGTGCTCTTCATATGATTTGAATTTAATTGAATTGTAATGTCATAAAAAAATTACACATACTTAAGACGTCAAAAATAGAGGAGTCATAAACAAAGAACACATACAGGGGACATCTTCAATTTGCGACGTCTAGAACTGATTATAATGGATGTACTTGCGTCAATTTGCGACGTCTAAAACTGATTATAATGGATGTACTTGCGTCAATTTGCGACGTCTAAAACTGATTATAATGGATGTACTTGCGTCAATTTGCGACGTCTAGAACTGATTATATTGGATGTACTTGCGTCAATGAAATATACAGAAAAAGAAACGGAGCATATAAGAAATGCTCACGTGAATACTTTTTTCAAGAGTAAACGTTAAAACCATCTGATAGTAGATAAATTTCAATCTCAAAGTACAATACTTAGTTCATCTGAACATATCAAACAAACGAAATTAATTATTCCCTTATACTCCAAGGCACGTTTAATTTATTTCGCTGTTCTTTTAAATTTCTTCGTGAATATTCATAAGTGGAAACATGTTAAAATTGTTACAGTTGAATGTTTTAACAAACGGTTTAACATCTCTTTTACCTTCCCTGGTATTATTTTGGTCGTTAACTAAAGTTAAACCCTTCCCCGAAGCTCTTTGAATACCGCTTAATATAATTTTGTATGGATAGCATTGCTTTTTCGTTTATGTTTATAGCTGACTATAGTTAATAATGTAGACGCCAAACAAAAAGGGTATGGCTACTTTTGTATGTTTAGTATGACTGGAATAAAAACCAACATAGTTACAGGAATCAGTTGATTTGCAATACAAATCTGTAGATATTTTTCCGCTTGTTTATCAATCAAACCATCTAGAAAAGGAAGTTTATAATCATTTACTGACATAGTATACTCTCACTGTATATCCGATGTTAAGGTATTTCACTATTTCATACTAATCAGAGACATTCTTGTCAGGGAACAAGTGATCAATTCATCATCTAAAAATCTCAAGGAACTATATATTTTTTTTTAAATTGGAATACTTTTTATTTGAACTCTGCTCAATTTGTTATACATAATCTGTTCCAAATATCCTAACACCGGACTTTTGTAGCCATGACCCTAACACTGCTGGTAATGGTTACAATGTGTGTAGCCCTGGACGTACCCTAACAATGCTGGTAATGGTTACAATGTTTGTAGCCATGGCCGTACCCTAACACTGCTGGTAATGGTTACAATGTTTGTAGCCCTGACCGTACCCTAACACTGCTGGTAATGGTTACAATGTTTGTGGCCCTGGCCGTACCCTTACACTGCTGGTAATGGTTACAATGTTTGTAGGCCTGGCCGTACCCTAACACTGCTGGTAATGGTTACAATATGTGTAGGCCTAGCCGTACCCTATCAATGCTGGTAATGGTTACAATGTTTGTAGCCATGGCCGTACCCTAACGCTGCTGGTAATGGTTACAATGTTTGTAGCCATGGCCTTACCCTAACACTGCTGGTAATGGTTACAATGTGTGTGGCCCTGGCCGTACCCTCACACTGCTGGTAATGGTTACAATGTTTGTGGCCCTGGCCGTACCCTAACGCTGCTGGTAATGGTTACAATGTTTGTAGCC